TAAGCATGTAGTAATTTATCACAGCAGCCATAGGAAACTAATACACATCCTGGTACAAAGAGTGATGGAAAAAGAAGTCTCAGTCGCTTTGTCAAGGCCTTATATGTTGCTGTCAGACATTTCTGGTTTTCTATGAGGATTTAGAGGACTTTATAATGTTAATTTTTTTCTCAGTTTAAAGTTGTAGTGTTGGCCGGGCGTGGTGGTTCATACCTATAATCCCAGCACTTTGGGAGGCTGAAGCGGGCGGTTCACTTGAGGCCAGGAGTTCAAGACAGCCTGGCCAACGTGGTGAAACCCCATCTCTACTAAAAATGCAAAAATTAGCCGGGTGTCATGATACATGCCTATAGTCCCAGCTACTCGAGAGGCTGAAGCACGAGAATAATTTGAACCCAGGAGGCAGAGGTTGCAGTGACCCGACATCATGCCACTGCACTCCAGCCTAGATGACAGAGAAAGACTGTGTCTTGAAAAAAAAAAAGTTTATTGTTGTGAGGGATATGGAAGTAATAGGACCCAGATTTGAAGCTTTGGTTTATCCAAAGCAAATTCAGCTTTTGGTGCATTGATGCCCACTTAGGGGGGGTGCTATGTTTTCTAAACTCCCCAGGGTGCCGCATGGCATAGAACAGGCATAGGTCCATCCTCTAACTTGTTGAATGAGTGAGGGATTGAGGACTTTTCCTGTGCAAGGGAAACTGACATCTTACCACTGGTAAAATCTTGCAAGTAGGCCACTACTTTGTCTCAGGCAGTTGGGAAGAAAAAAATATTCCCATACAGGTTTTGAGCTTTCTTTGGTGATTTACATATATGCATAATTTTTTTTCTTTGGTCAGTGTTTTCCCTTTGTATAGGAAACTCAGACTCTGAACAGCAAACTTGTTTTTCTTCAGAGTTTTTATTTTTTCACAAGATCTGGTGATCCGGTGATCTGCTGATTAAGTTAGTATTTGACTAACAAATTGAAATATTAATTGTAAAGTGTTAAAGGCCAGGCCTGGCACATGGTAACTGCCATATAAATGTTTGTTAAATAAATTTCTATTCCCCCAAATTAAACTCATAAATCAAGAAGTTGGGCATTCCATTTTAGAAACCTCTGAAATTTAACCTAAGAGAAAATGTGAAAATAACTTCAAAAAGCAGCTTGAAAGAAGAGACCCATCAGGAACCCAGGCACTTCTGCAGCACATGATTTCCCCACACTCCCTTTCAAAAAAGAAGGATATATTTTGCTGGATTCCATTAGAATCTATTGTGTGGAAGCAGCTGCCTCAGACATCAGTGATGTGAAAAAATCTTCCCTGATTAGTGAATAATAAGTTATTTTCTTCTCTAGCTAAGAAACTTGGCTTTAATTAAAAGAATTTTTTTTTGAGAGTCACGCTGTCTTGCCCAAGCTGGAGTCCAGTCGCACAATTTCAGCTCACTGCAACATCTGCCTCCTGGGTTCAAGCGATTCTCCTGCCTCAGCCTCCCAAGTAGCTGGGATTATAGGCATGCACCACCATGCCTGGCTAATTTTTGTATTTTTAGTAGAGATAGGGTTTCGCCATGTTGGAGATGTTGGCCATCTGATCATGTTGGCCAGCCTGATCTTGAACTCCTGACCTCAGGCGATTTGCCCACCTCAGCCTTCCAAAGTGCTGGGAATATGTATAGGCATGAGCCACCACACCCGAGCTAATTAAAATTTTTGATTCAGAAGGATGCCGACATTTCCAGGCTTATGAGCTTTGTATTTTCTACCAGCTCAGTGGCTGGAGGGAGGGGGGCTTCTGTGCCTCTCCCTCTCCCACTCTCTCTGAAGTGCAGCACCCAGCCCCTCTCCCTCCTACAGAATGAAATAGCCTCTCGTGACACTTCAGTGATGGCAGTTTGGGCAACAGGGTCAGGAGAAACATCACACACAGTGGGTGGTGAAGAGAAGGAGGACCAGAAAACACAAAGGGAGGGAACAGGAGCCAGAAAGAATCTGTGAGTCACCACACCCAGGCCAAACCCAAAGGCCTCTCTTTCTCCTTTGTCTTTCCAGTTTGGTCCACAGCTCCTGGACATGGACAGCTACTTCCTGGTGTGAGACCGGGGAATTTGGGAAATGGTGAGGGGTAAGAAGCATCAGTGCGTGGAAAGAATCTGGATTTTAGCAGGCCCTTTGCAATTAGCTAGTCATCTGCCTTCTTCAAACACTGCTCTCCGCAGCCTCTCCACTCAGCAGTGGAGGAACAGGTGGAGATGTCACGTAGGCCAGGCTGCTCCTTTTCCACCATCCCCAAGCTCCTGGGCACCTCGTGCTGAAAGACGCTAATGATGAGGAGGTCCAGGGACGACCTCAGCACATGGAAGCCATGAAGGAAAAACAGGAAAGGGAGCATCTGGATTGTTTCACTGGTTGGACACCTGGAACTCCACAGTTTCCTTTCTGATTCTGTGAAAGTACCGAGATCTCAGGTCCCAAGAGCAATTATAGTTCTAAACTAATCATTCCTTAGAAAGTTGAGAGTTCAAAACCACAAATGAATAAACCGGGGGGGAATTTCAGGGTCTATTCCTGTCTGGTTGACCATTTCACTTCTCTCTGGACTGGCAAGCACTCCCTGACCATGACAAGGGTTTAATCATTTATTCAGTTTGCAAATGGACTGTTTTTCAAAGATTTTTAGACATGAATTCTAGGGCCAGGTGAGGACAGTCATGCCTGTAATCCTGGCCTCTCTAGCACTTTGGGAGGCTCCCTTGAGTCCAGGAGTTCAAGGCTGCAGTGAGCTAAAAAAAAAAAAAAAAAAAAAAAAAATGTGTTCCCAACCAGGATGAAAGCTTGGAAAGACACATTGTGGAATCAGGATGACCAACACAAGGGAAGGAGAGAAAGAAAAGTTCTTTCTTTTCCCCTTTTATGAAAGGGAAGTGAAACAGTTTCAACATTCTTTATTGCAAATTCCAGGCAACTGGCCATAAGTAACCTTCCAGTGGTAATAAAACCAGAGATGGACTAAGATTAGACCACTACCATTCCACCCCACTTACTTAGGCAGCCAGCACCACCCTACACCCTTTGTCTCCAACTCTCTAGGACAAGCAGATACTTTTGCCCTGCTCCCGGCTCCCAGCTGACGCTCCCACTAAGAGCACCCACTCTATAGCTCAGTGGAAAATCTAGCATAGCACTGGCCATCAGACTGAAGGAACCAGAAACACAGGCCACCTCTGCCACAAGCTGAGGTCTGAGTTAGGTCACTGCTTCAGGCACTGCCCCTGGAGGCAAGTGGTGCCCATTAGTACCTGCTGGTCCCCACTGTGGTCCCCAAGAGGCGATTGGGATCCTGGAGACCAGATTCTCATATCCAAAGCAAACAATGAAGCAGGACTGTAAACTCTGCTATGCCTTTTTTGGTGCTTGAAGTTGAGAATCATCTAACAGAGAATTTATTTATTCAAAAAAATTTTTTAGCACATGTATGACCAGCACTGGGCTTCAGCACAATAAGGGTTACAGAGGAATTTAAGCATGGTCTCTGCCCCTCATCCAGGCCCAGGGCCGGGGCTGAGCCAGGAAGAGGATGCTTGCAATGGCAACATTCCTGCCCTCTTCCTCCCTCAGCTCCCTAGAGAGCAGTTCCGCAGCCAACTGGCTGACGTTTGCATTCTGGGTTTGAGCAAAAGTCTTTTATCTCTGAATGTTTTCCCTCAAAATGGTCAAGTGGGATGTCTTGGAAGCAAGGATCACAATGGCTAGTGCACAGAAATTTGTTTCTTGACTGTATGTTCCCTCATCTGCTTCCAAGAAGGCTTGGAGTGTCCAACAGAAGGGACCCTGACAGCTAGGACCTCTGTGCCCCCCATGGTGAGAAAGCATCACCTCCTGCCACACTCACCATTCTGTGCGCCTCTCCTTTCTGGTCTAAGTAGGCTCGGATAGTGGCCAGTCCAGCATATTCCCCCTGGGCTCCGCTTGCAAAGACAAGAAGAAAAGGATCATGGTTAGGTCTTCTGGCTTTCTTTTGCTTATTCAATATTCATTAGGCCCTGGCCAGGGGTTCACCAGCACGTGACACATGGTCACTGTCCAGACACTGAGAGAAGCTCATTGGGGAGCTCTGCCGGAGCCAAAGGTATTGAACAATCAAAACAATCAAAGCAGTAGCATCCAATTTGTGCACTACAGCTCAGCTACTTCTACCCTTGCTCAGGACCATGCACTGAAAATAGCCCTTTGTTATTATGAAAAATTTCAAAACTATACCAAAATACAGAGAAGAACAAAAGGAACCACCATGTGTCTATCAGCCGTAGCAATTCGGTTTATGGTCACTCTTGTTTCCAATTATATTCCTCACTAACCACTTTCATGCTGAACTATTTATTTTGAAGCAAACTTCAAACATCCTATCATCTGTTCAAATGTCAATATGCAGCCTTCAAAGGTAAGTATTGTTTTCAAAAATATAACTACAGGCCGGGCATGGTGGCTCACGCCTGTAATCCCAGCACTTTGAGAGCCTGAGGTGGGTGGATCAGCTGAGGTCAGAATTTCAAGACCAGCTTGGCCAACATGGTGAAACCCTGTCTCTAAAGTAAGTAAATAAATAAATAAATATCAGTGTTGTATGCCCATCTTCCATATATATATATATATATATATATATATATATATATATATCTCCACAGGCCGGGTGCCAATGTGGGCAGATCATTAGAGCTCAGGAGTTTGAGACCACCCTGGGCAACATGGTAGAGCAGTGTCTCCACTAGAAGTACAAAACATTAGCCTGGTGTGGTAGCACACATCTGTAGTCCCAGCTACTGGGGAGGCTGATGTGGGAGGATCACTTGCATCTGGGAAGTGGAGACTGCAGTAAGCCAAGATGGCGCCACCGCACTCCAACCTGGGTGACCGAGTGAGATCCTGTCTCAAAATATAAATTAAAAAAAACTGCAAACACAGTTGTCACACCTAGAATAATGACTTTCAATTTTTTCCTTTTTTTCCCCTCCTTTAAATGGGTAATATACTAACATCTTAACAAGGTTCAAGGAAGGCACACCCATACATGAGCATGAAAACCAGTCGTCACTCTTTATGACTTCTTAATACTACCAAATATAAAATCAAGGGCCTGATCAGCCCAAAAGAATGATGGACTTTTAATGTGACACCATTGCTGGCAGTCTCAGGGTCTGCTCTCCCAGGCCCCGCATGCAGATGGCTGCTAGGGGCTGGCCATCCTCATCTCAAGCGTCTTGGAAGGCACCACTCTCAGGGCAAATGCAATGACTAACATTCCTGTGAGCAATGCTGACTCAATCGTAGACCGTTATTTAATATTCTCAGCACCCCGTGAAGGAAGGGAAGGGAAATGAGTAATAGAGGTATCAGTCCCATGCAAAATGTGTATGTCTACAGAAGCTGAAGGCAAAAATTAAATACTAAAAAAAGAAACAAAAATTTAAACTTTATTCAGAAAAACAAAGTCAGATACTGCCTGATCTCACTTAAAAGTGGGAGCTAAATTACTTGTACACATGGACAGAGAGTGTGAAATAATAATTGGTGACTGGGAAGAGTAGGTGAGTTCGAGGGCTGAGGGCTGAGAAATTACTTAATGCGTACAGTTTACACTAGTTAGGTGATGATTACACTAAAAGCCCAGACTGCACCATTACTCAACGTATCTATGTAACAAAATTGTACTCGTACCTCTTAAATTTAAACAAATAAGTAAAATGAAATAAAAGGCAAATATAAGCAAAAACAAAAACAAAAAAAATTTAAACTTTAAACAAGTGAAAATAAAAATGAAATTAAAAATTTTTTTAATGTGACCCACAGAAAATAGGTGAGAAGAAAAACAAAATGTGTATGTCCTCCATGCCATCACCCCCATTTTACACATGAAGAAACTGCGCTCAGAATGCGACATGCCAAATGGCCAACAGTGACAGACGAAAGCTTGGGTGTGGAGTCAGCCTGTCTCCCGGAGTGACAGGCTCCCCTTGCAGGCAGTGCCGTTCCTGAGAGTTCTGGGAGCAAACGCTGATTTTCCTTCACAGCAGAATTCTTGTCAGATTGATAGAAATGGCGAATTTAGCTAAAAATCAAAAAAAAGAAAAAAGAAAGAAAGAAAAGGAAAGAAAGAAAGAAAGCAAGCAAGCCTGTCTTACAAGACCCGGGTTACCCCTCACCCACACTGACTCAGCTGTAGCTCTCTCCGCTCTCTTCCAATAAGAAAGGCAAAGACTGCTTCTTCTGTTTTCCTGGCTTCTGAAAAACAAGTCCTAGCCTATTTGAGGTTTTTTATTTTGAGGACAAGGAAATGAATATGCCGTGCTTCAGGAAGCCACTCACATCACTAGCAACTTTGTCTCCCTGTGCCTATGTGCCTGTGACATGGATACCACCGCGCAGGGCGGATGTGATAAGTAGTGACATCATCGATGTCAAACGCTTCTCACCCAAATCCTGCCTGTTCTTCATCTGGCTCCAACTCTCTGCATAGCCTTCCCCAAAGCCACCAATCCAGCTCTTTGTCACTTTCTCAGAGAGGCCTTCCCTGAAGGCAAGAATCTTGTCTACCTTGTTCACAACTGTATTCTCTGTGACAAGAACACTGACATAAAGAACATTTGATAGACTGATTAAAGAAATAATCCTGTACCTCCTCCAAATTCTCATAACACTTTACAATCTTATCTGACATTACCATCTTATACATGTACTAGACATTGAAAATCATTACTGATCTCACATTTACTTTGTGTGCCTGTCTTATCTCAATTAGAGAATAACCTCTGAAAGTAGGGTCTGATTCTCAGAGTTCTGTACATTCTCCAACAGGGAATATATAGAACAGTACTCTGCATGTAGTAGTTCTGCAATAAATATTTAGTAAATATTTTAAAAATTGAATTTCTCCATCCCAAGCAATCAATATGAATGTCATCCTTTCCTGTACGGTAAAGAACCTCAAGAAAAGCATTGTATATTTACTCCTATGTTTTTCTCATTAATTCTATTCATCTTACTTTCTTGGAAGGCCAATCAAGCTGTAGACTAGGAATGAAGGAAGAGGGAGATTACTGGCTGCAAGCCAGGAGTGCAGGAGAAAAGCAACATGCTAAAGACTTGATCGGAAATGCTGGATTTCTCTCTCGCCTTTTTTTTTTTTTTTTTTTGGCCTTAAACATCTATAAAATCAGCTATGTTTCAGCTCAAAAAGTTCAAATGATATATTCAAATGTGACACAAGGATTACTACTGGAATATTAAAACAAATTGTTAGTGCCACCTGTTGGTAGAAAAGTATTATGAAAAGTAATTGCTTATCTACATAACCCAGACTGAGCAACCATCAGCAAACTATTATATATGGACGAGAGGCTAGGACAGTGCTTTTCTGACAACTGTTTAAAATGAAATCGTGAATGGTCTGGAGCTGCAGGGCTGGCCAGTGGACAGGGAGCCTCAGAAGTGCCAAGTTTATGTCAGTACAACTTCAACTGTCTTAGAAAAACAAAGCCTTCCAGGCTGGGTGCAGTGGCTCACGCCTGTAATCCCAGCACTTTGGGAGGCGAAGGCGGGTAGATCACCTAAGGTCAGGAGTGTGAGACCAGCGTGGCCAACATGGTGAAACCCCATTTCTACTAAAAATACAAAAAAGTAGACAGACATGGTGGTGCAGGCCTGTAATCCCAGCTACTTGGGAGGCTGAGGTGAGAGAATCGCTTAAACCTGGGAGGCAAAGGTTGCAGTGAGCCAAGATTGTGTGACTACGCTCCAGCCTGGGCCACAGAATGAGACTCAATCTCAAAAAGAAAAAAAAGCAAGGTCCTCATGTGTATGGCATTCACTCAGGCTGATGAAGGAACTGCTGTTTAAGGCAGAATGCAGAAACTGAGTAGACAACTTCTTCGAAAACCCGGATTCATTCTACAAAGAATCCACAAGAAATTCAATAGACTGGAAAAAGTAGAACAACCACATAACAGGTATAAGAACCCACAGGGTGAAAATAAGTTGGAGTTGATGGAATTCAACACTATTGTGATGACTATAACCTAGGCGCTTTCAATATCTATGTATCATCATAGGTGTGCAAGTTCAGGAGAAATACTCAATGTGAACTTAGAGAAAAAAAAGAATTTGTAGATGACATGGAAGAGATAGGCTGAGGGTACTAGCTCAGAAGAGCTAAAAGTCCTTTTGCCAAGGTTAGAACAGGAGTTCAAAGACAAAATAAATTTTAAAGATTTTTAAAATTAATGTATCTTTCCCTTTACTAAGAACCCTAGCCAAACACATTGAGAATTAGAAATAGATGTTGTAGGCCAGGCGCTGTGGTTCACGCCTGGGAGGTTGAGGTGAGCAGATGACCTGAGTCAGGAGTTCGAGACCAACCTGGACAACATGGCAAAACACCATCTCTACTAAAAACACAAAAATTAGTCCGGTGTGGTGGCATGCATCTGTAATCCCAGCTACTTGGGAGGCTAAGGCAGAGGAATTGCGTAAACCGAGGAGGTGGAGGCTGCAGTGATCCGAGATCGCACCACTGCACTCCAGTCTCGGTGACAGAGTAAGACTTAGTCTCATGGGAAGGAAAAAAAAAAACACATCGGGGCTGACTTTATAGACACCATAAGCAACTTCTCAGATGGTGAGATGGTGGCTGCTTTGGAATACTTGGAGATGGGTCACTGTAGCTACGTGCTTGTTACATATGCAAAAAGTAATATGAAACCCATTTTGCAAGATTACAGAATGCACTAAAGTAATAATTTATGGTGAACACAAGCGGTCACCAAAACTCCCACTATATCATATTGTAATTATATAGAGAAAACAGTATTTGTATTCCCAAGTAAAATGCTGTATTTTTATACAAGTCAAAAGATGTTTAAAATGTGCCATAAAGAAAAGACAATGCTATGGTTTCCAAAGTTTTAAAAATTACAGCACCAACAAATTAAGACTTATATATGTTTGAATTACCAAATATCTAGATTGACCAGATCTATTTTAGTTTTAACATTCCCTAAATATTCTGCAAATCATTTTAGTTTTTAACACACTATTATAGTTTGTGCACGGATGGCCACCTTTAATATATGATTTCACTGAAGCTCTCACTGAACTTGTTTATAAGCAGTAGACCTATTTTACTTCTTATATTTGTCCCAAAGGAATGGGACAGTTACAGATTTTCCACTGGGCCCGGTGGCTCACACCTGTAATCCCAGCACTTTAGGAGGCTGAGGCAGGCAGATCACCTGAGGTCAGGAGTTCGAGACCAGCCTGACTAACATGGAGAAATCCCATCTCTACTAAAAGTACAAAATTAGCCAGGCATGTCGGTACATGCCTGTAATCCCAGCTACTCAGGAGACTGAGGCAGGAGAATTGCTTGAACCTGGGAGGCAGAGGTTGCAGTGAGCCGAGATCGCGCCATTGCACTCCAGCTGGGGCAACAAGAGTGAAAATCCGTCTCAAAAAGAGATTTTCCACAGTGAGGATGCTGACTGTTCCCATAGCGAGACTCTGTTTTGTTCTCTACTGCCAGCTTCTCTTGGGTCTTGCTCACTGCTGAAGTCTAATTCTCCTGCTTTTCCATCAGCTCTGTGAACTGCCCATTAACTTCCCTGTAAATTACTTTTCTGGTTAAGTTCATACAAGCCATTTTCTGTGGTTTGCAACTAGGAGCCCTTAGGTGGCACATATTGTTAAATGTTTCCTACAACAATGGTGTGTTAAAGTCACTCATTCCCAAGTAGATCTCACAGACAGTTTCTGCAGCCACCCTGGAGTTTCTCTTGCCTCTAATATAAAAGCCGTTTCTTATTTGCTGCCCCTTTTCAAAGCTGTTTGGCTCCAAGCAAATATTCCTCTGGATCTCATATATCACATGAACATAATGCTACCTATTTCACAGGTGAACTTAAAATTTTTATGATAGAATACATTTATGTGGGCACAGCCACAGTGGCTCACGCCTATAATCTTTGCACTTTGGAAAGCTAAGGCAGGTGGATCACCTGAGTTAGGAGTTTGAGATCAGCCTGGCCAACATAGAGAAACCCCCGTCTCTACTGAAAATACAAA